ACTACCTTGTCCTCATTGAGTTACCTTAAACACAACATTATATAATGTTGACACAAGAGAAAAGAAAAAGAAGGTTAGTGAAGTGTAGCAGACGTTAAATGTTTTACTGTATAATGCAAAAAAAAATAGAAGTATCGATGATTTTTTTTCGTTCTTGTCATATTAAGCTTGATTGCTTCCAGAGCAGTCTCATGCAAGGCACAGAAAGAAGAACGTCATGAAAGGAGTCAATGAAAAAATGACTAATGAATGATGATTTTCTTACCAAAATCACTGATGGAGAAACTATATCCCACGCATTATTACTAAAATTATTGTGCACAGAGAAAAGCAAGAGAAATTTTGTAAAAATAGCAAAACGAAAAATGATGCGATTGATTTTTTCTGTTCGTTCGAATGTCTCCAACGAATAAATATTTTTATTCTTTTTCTCTCTGTTTCTCTTGTATTTTTTACCTTAATATTTTCAATAAAAACAAGTAGGGTTCGTTCTTAGGTGTGAACGAAAAACATAAAACATTTTGCGTAGTAGAAAAATAGAGAGAAAAAGACACTACATAGATATATACTCAGAGACGAAGTAGTGTATGTGTGAGTGACAAAAAAAATTATTTATAATTTTCAATTGACGATCAACTTACTATTCAGAATAATATGGATGTACAAAAACCAAACAAGCCTATATCTACATCTTCAAAGATCCCATCGACAACAACATCAGCACAGTCGGCTAGCATTCGTCCAGAACGCCGCATTTTTCAAGATTTCTTTCTGATATGGTTAGATGCCAATATTGACCAAGGTAATACAGATTATCAAAGCATTGTGGCACAACTTCAAAGCATAGTCAACGAAGTTCATACCTTCACGCAGATCGATCAATGTATTGACTTCCTCACCGAAGTCGATGATAGAAAGGCATTTCTCATTGTAGCGGATGATATGCGACAACAAATGATGTCCCTCATCCATGATATTCCTCATGTTGATAGCATTTATGTCTTTTCTGGAAACAAAGTTCCATACGAAGATTGCAACAACGACTGGAACAAAATTAAGGGCATATATACGGAAATTACACCCATCTGTAAAGCACTAAAAGTGGCCATCCAACAATGTAATCAAGATGACATCTCGGTAAGCTTTCTCAGTGTACATCAAGAGGGCTTCAGCCAAAATCTGAACGAACTTGAACCTTCGTTTATGTATACTCAACTGTTCAAAGAAATTCTCCTTGAAATCGACTATACTGAACAAGCAATTAAGAATTTTATTCTATTCTGGCGCAACGAATACATCAACAATACCGTTACATTGGATCCTATCGATGAATTCGAACGTGATTATCATCCACAATCATCAATTTGGTGGTACACTCGGGAATATTTCCTCTATCGGATGATCAACTGGTCTCTTCGAACATTGGAATCGGAAACAATTATGAAAATGGGCTTCTTTATTCGTGATCTACATTGTCAAATAGAAGAATTACACAAACAACAGACAAGAGGTTCTGAGAGAGAGCCCATTATTGTTTACCGAGGGCAGCGGCTATCCATCGCTGACTTTCAAAAACTCCAGACAACAAAAAGTGGTTTCATGTCCTTTAACAACTTTCTATCCACTAGTGAAAATCGACAGGTTTCCCTTGCCTACGCTGAAAGTGCCTCAACAGCAAGCGATACGGTGGGCATTCTCTTTCACATGTTGATTGATCCCACCATCAGATCAATACCCTTCGCCTCCATCCAACAAGTGAGTTACTTCAACGAAGAACAAGAAATACTCTTCTCAATGCACACTGTTTTTCGTATCGCTGAAATTAAACAGATGACCACCAAGAGTCACCTCTGGGAAGTACAATTGATTCTCACAGATGAAAATGATCAACAGTTGGCTGCTCTCACGCGCAGCATACGCAGCGAGCTCTGTGGATCCACAGGATGGCAGCGATTGGGTGATCTTATGTTCAAAGTCGGTCACTTTAATAAAACCGAAGAACTCTACAATGATTTACTGAAGAACTCGTCCAATGACAGTGATAGAGCATACATCTATCACCAGCTTGGACAATCGAAACACGCAAAAGCACAGTACAAAGAAGCAGCTTCATTTTATGAAAAGTCTCTCGAAATCAAGCATACAACATTCACAGAACATGATCCTGAATTGGCTCAATCCTACAACAACATCGGTAGAGTGTATAGGGACATGGGTGACTATTCGAAAGCACTTGAATTTTACGAAAAGTCACATAAAATAAAAACAAAAGCTCTGCCTCCAAATCATCCCGATTTGGCTACTTCCTACAACAACATCGGTGGAGTGTATAACGCCATGGGTGACTTCTTGCAAGCACTTGAATTTTACGAAAAATCACTTACAATAAGAGAAAAAGCTCTGCCTCCAAATCATCCCGATTTGGCTATTTCTTACAACAACATCGGTCAAGTGTATAACAACATGGGTGACTACTCGAAAGCACTTGAATTTTACGAAAAATCACATACAATCTACGAAAAAGCTCTGCCACCGAATCATCCCGATTTTGCTACTTCCTTCAACAACATCGGTCTCGTGTATGACAACGTGGGCGACTATTCGAAAGCACTTAAATTTTACGAAAAATCGCATCAAATAGTGGAAAGAGCTCTTCCTTCGAATCATCCTTATTTGGCTATTTCCTACAACAACATCGGTGGACTGTATAACGACATGGGTGACTATTCGAAAGCACTTGAATTTCACGAAAAATCACATAAAATCTACGAAAACGCTCTGCCTCCGAATCATCCCGATTTGGCTAGTTCCTACAACAACATCGGTGCAGTGTATAACGACATGGGTGACTACTCGAAAGCACTTGAATTTTACGAAAAATCACATAAAATCTATGAAAAAGCTCTACCACCGAATCATCCCAATTTGGCTATTTCCTACAACAACATCGGTCAAGTGTATAACAACATGGGTGACTACTCGAAACCACTTGAATTTTACGAAAAATCACTTACAATAAGAGAAAAAACTCTGCCAATGAATCATCCCGATTTTGCTACTTCCTTCAACAACATCGGTCTCGTGTATGACAACATGGGTGACTATTCGAAAGCACTTGAATTTTACGACACATCACATAAAATCTACGAAAAAGCTCTACCTCCGAATCATCCCAATTTGGCTATTTCCTACAGCAACATCGGTGGAGTGTATAAGGACATGGGTGACTACTCGAAAGCGCTTGAATTTCACGAAAAATCACATCAAATAAGAGAAAAAGCTCTCCCTCCGAATCATCCCGATTTGGCTATTTCCTACAACACCATCGGTGGAGTGTATAACGAGATGGGTGACTACTCGAAAGGACTTGAGTTTTTCGAAAAATCGCATCAAATAGCAGAAAAAACTCTTCCTTCGAATCATCCTAATTTGGCTCTATCATACAACAATATCGGCCTTATCTATAACCACATGGCTGACTACTACAAGGCACTTGAATTTTACGAAAAATCACATCAAATAAAAGAAATAGCTCTTCCTCCTAATCATCCCGATTTGGCTACTTCCTACAACAACATCGGTGGAGTGTATAACGCCATGGGTGACTACTCGAAAGCACTTGAATTTTACGAAAAATCACATCAAATAGCAGAAAAAGCTCTCCCTCCGAATCATCCCGATTTGGCTCAATCCTACGACAACATCGGTAAAGTGTATAACGACATGGGTGACTACTCGAAAGCACTGGAATTTTACGAAAAATCGCATCAAATAGTGGAAAGAGCTCTTCCTTCGAATCATCCTAATTTGGCTCTATCCTACAACAATATCGGTCTTATCTATAACAACATGGCTGACTACTACAAGGCACTTGAATTTTACGAAAAATCATATCAAATAATAGAAAAGGCTCTGCCTCCGAATCATCCCGATTTGGCTAGTTCCTACAACAACATCGGTGCAGTGTATAACGACATGGGTGACTACTCGAAAGCACTTGAATTTTACGAAAAATCACATAAAATCTATGAAAAAGCTCTACCACCGAATCATCCCAATTTGGCTATTTCCTACAACAACATCGGTGGAGTGTATGAGGACATGGGTGACTACTCAAGAGCACTTGAATTTCACGAAAAAGCACATAAAATAAAAGAAAAAGCTCTACCTCCAAATCATCCCGATTTGGCTATTTCTTACAACAACATCGGTGGAATCTATAACGTCATGGGTGACTGTTTGAAAGCACTTGAATTTTACGAAAAATCACTTAAAATAAGAGAAGAAGCTCTGCCTTCGAATCACCCTCGTTTGGCTTCTTCCTACAACAACGTCGGTCAAGTGCATAACGACATGGGTGAGTACTCGAAAGCACTTGAATTTTACGAAAAATCGCATGAAATCCTCGAAAAAGCTCTGCCTCCAAATCATCCAGATTTGGCTACTTCCTACAGCAACATCGGTGAAGTGTATTACCACATGGGTAACTACTCGAAAGCACTTGAATCTTACGAAAAAGCACATAAAATAAGAGAAAAGGCTCTGCCTTCGAATCATCCGGATTTGGCCCTGTCCTACAATAACATCGGTCTCGTGTATAACGACATGGGTGACTACTCGAAAGCACTGGAATTTTACGAAAAATCACATAAAATCCTCGAAAATGCTCTGCCTCCGGATCATCCCAATTTGGCTACTTCTCACAACAACATCGGTCTAGTGTATAAGAACATGGGAGACTACTCGAAAGCGCTTGAATTTCACGAAAAATCACATAAAATAACAGAAAAAGCTCTGCCTCCGAATCATCCCGATTTGGGTACTTCCTACAATAACATGGGTACAGTGTATTTCGACATGGGTGACTACTGGAAAGCACTTGAATTTTTCGAAAAATCACATAAAATCTTCGAGAATGGTCTGCCCCCGAATCACCCTCTTCTGGCTTTTCCATACAAATGGTTCGGAAAGATTTATCGCAGCATGAAAGGTTATTCAAAGGCACTTGATAATTTCGAAAGATGTCTCTCAATACGTCAAAAAGCCTTACTTGATAATCATCCAGATCTAGCTACTATATACAGTGATATTGGTGATGTTCATCGATTAATGGGTAATTATGAAAAGGCATTTGCATTTCATCAAAGAGCATTAAATATTCAAGAAAATATTCAATGTGATCCTACGGACTGTGCAACGACATATATAAATTTAGGTGAAACGTATCGTGAAATGGAAGATTATTCAGCAGCATTGACATATTTTGAAAAAGGATTAGAAATACGTGAAAAGAAATTACCAAAAAATCATCCTGATTTAGCTGTTGTATATCATAATATGGCAAAATTATATTTGGCTACACGAAAATATAGTATGGCAATGAAAAATATTCAACAAGCAGTTGAAATAGCTCAAGAAAAGTTACCTTCAACTCATCTTCATCTTTTGGAATATAAAGAAACATTTGAACAAATTCGAAAGAAAATGTAATTTATTTTTTTTTCGTTTACTTGCTCAATAAATCAGTTTTGATTCGTTTTCCCTTACCGGCTTTTCTAGGCTCATTTTCAGGCGTACGCGCGCGCTCGGTTAGGGAGAGGCCCTATGCGTATGAAACGGATAGACACAGAGCGAACCACGCCGGACTGGTAGGGCAATGTACATAGGTATACGGTACATAATGGCAGCAGGGACCTACGTACATTAAAGGCCTTCCCGAGTACTACAGTGCTGTCGCTAATCCATGAGGAACTGAATCTTTCTCTGGATCAGGTTACGAAGCCACCTGAAAAGGCTGTGATATAAATTGGTATCTATCTTCTAACATAAATAACATAGACTTAACATAATAACACTATACACTAAATGTGTACAACAACGAAGAAAAAAATTATTTCATCCGAAATAAATCATCTATGTCTCATTCTAACATTGTCTCAATGTAAGTATTGTTATGAAAATTTACTTTAGAATTGTTCTTCCAAGAAAACAGAAAAGAAATTTTTTTTAATGTTTCAACTATTTATTTATTTGTTCAAGTCTTTCTA